CCCCCATTTCTGAAGAAGGGTCTAGGCCCGAAACATCAGCCTTCCTGCTCCTCTGATGCTGCTTGGCCTGCTGTGTTCATCCAGCTCTACACCTTGTTATCTCAGATTCTCCAGCATCGGCACTATCTCTTATTGATTATTGTGTTTTTTTTCCCTTTCTCTCTGTGACCAGGAACACTTCACACCTGAATGCAGGTTCAAGGAATCAGTATTTGAAAACTACTATGTGACCTACTCATCCATGTTGTATAGACAACAACAGTCTGGAAGGGGCTGGTACTTGGGACTTAACAAGGAGGGAGAGATCATGAAAGGAAACCACGTGAAGAAAAACAAACCAGCAGCCCACTTCCTCCCCAAACCATTAGAAGGTAATGACTCAAAGATTTTCTTTGCTTTAACTTCAGCTGTGAGCACCTGGAGTGTAGGAAACGCAATTAACTAGAGGTCAGGTTCATCTTTAATCTGGTCGTTATTCGTTGAGAGGAAGGATTGAATATTGTAGAGATGCCATGGGAACTACAGTTAAGAGGATCTCCAGGTTGGCATTTTGTTCTAATCTTAATTAACTGTTTGCTTCCTGACACCTGTCTGCTTCCTCTTCCAATCCAGAACCTATTCCTTTTTAAATCAAGGGACATCTTGCACCTAGTAATCGCAGGCAATTGGGTGTTTTCATCTCAAATGCATGAAAAAGTTCCTTCTGCATTTTCAGGTCGAGTGACCTGAATGGCTCTTCACAGATGCTGCCGGACCTGCTGAGCTTTTCCAGCAATTGCTATTTTTGTCTCTGATTTACAGCATCTGTTGTTCTTTTGGTTTTTATTTTGAGTCAGTTTTGTCCTGCACAATAGGTTTCCAAACACAATCTCAAGAGCATCAACTGGAGCTGGCTGGTTACTCTGCATTCTCAGTGAAGTTGTTTGAAGTATTTAACATTGGTCAGGGAGAACTCCCCTGCCCTTTCTCAAGCACAGATATGCGATCTTCTACCAGCACAACAAAATTGTAGTTATCTCGCACCTTTTGATGTAATAAAATGTCCCATGGTGCATCATAGGAGTACTATCAACTTAGCATTGGGACAGGTGATTACATCTTGGTCAGAGGTGAAGTAAGCCATAAACCTGGAGAGGGAACTCCACAGTTTGGGGACAAGTTCATGAACAAAACAGGCTTCGTCAGTGCAGCTGTTAAAAACCAGGATTCATAGAGGCCAGAATGAAAGGAGTACAGATATCTCAGAAAGTTCAGGGGATAACTCATGTCACACTGATCGGCACAGGTAATGTCATGGAGGAAATTGAAAAAAGAATGATTTCTTTGATAAAGAGCCGATGCAGGTCAGTGAGGATGAAGGTGAGAATTGAGGTAATATAGTTGTTTATTGAGCTGAAAGTTAAAGAGAGAGGGAGTGGGAAGTCAGGACCTTTGGAATTGTTGAATCCGAAGGTAACAGAACCTTTAGCATCAGTAAATCTGAGGCACTGTAGAAATTTTTAAAAGCTTCTTAGACAGCACCTTCCAAACCCATGACCACTTCCATTCAGAAGGACAAGGGCAACAGATACATGGGAACACCACCTCCTCCAAGCCACTCACCATCCTGACTTGGAAATATGTCTCCGTTCCTTCAGTGTCACTGGGCCAAAATCCTGGAATTCCCTCCCTCAGGAATTGTAGGTCAACCTACAGCAGGTGGACTGTAGCAGTTCAAGAAGGCAGCTCACCCCCATCTTCTCAAGGGCAATTAGGGATGGGCAATAAATGCTGGCCCAGTGAGTGATGTCCATGTCCCACAAATGAATAAAAACATGTTAAGAAGATAAAAGTTGATAACCTTGATAATGGTGTGGATATATGATCAGAATGTATCTTGAGAGAAAATGTAACACTAAGGTTCTGAACTCAGTTGATTCAGATTTTTGATTTCTTGGTTTTAAATTTTCTAGTGATTAGTTTATTTGTTTACAGGATCAATGTATTTATTATCATTTGGCCTTGAGAAAATGATGGTGTGTGGTATTTTGTTATTCACCATAGCTGAGATCTGGGGGAGATTGTGGTATTGTTCATACTAGTGTTGGTGGATAGCATCGTCATCCTTCTGTACAGTAACACGTTGCTGTGAGCACTGGTTATTTTGCGCATTTGACTTTGGTTGATAGCTGGCACTACTGGCTGTGAAATTCTTATGATCAAAATAGTCAGATACCCAGCACTAAAGTTGCCAAGCAAGCAAAGCCTTCCTTTGTTAAAAGAGAATCTGCAGACTGTAACAGATTCTTAACCTCTGGCCCAAGAGTATATGGCAGCTCCAAATAAACTGAATGTACATTGCACTTTTCGAAACACTATATACTCGAGCAGGTTCAGAAGCTTCACTTGACACAATGGTCAGCTTATCGTTAGATTTCTCAGACTTGTTCTTCCCTCCCTATGTCCTTTATCTTCTCGATCTGTCATTGGGCATTAGCCTTGAATGTTCAAATGCTACTTTTTGACATATTTGTGAACTTGAGTTGTTCTCCCAAGCAATGAAGGCTACCCAGTATTTCAGTAGAGGAGACAATGATAGTACAGGGACAAAATCAATGGTCTCACAATTCAGAGGCCTGAACTCCTGGCCTGAGGGGAGGTTCAAATCCTACTATAGGCAGCTAGTGAAACTTAAACTCAATTAATAACTAAATCTAACTAGTCTCTGTAATGATGTAATGATTATGTTTGTTTATTGTACAACCCCATCTGGGTGACAAATGTCCTTTATGGAAGGAAATCTACCATCCTTATGTGCTCTGGTCTACATGTGACTCCAGACTCAGAACAACGTGGTTGACTGTGAAATGACTGAGCAATCATTCATGGGAAATTGGGAAACGACAATAAACACTGGCCATCCCAATGACCCAACACCCTGTGAGATATATAAATGATATATCTTTCAGAAAGCACAGTTTTTGTCCCAGGCATATATTGATGCCAATGTCGTGGATGTGAGGTAAGTGTGAATAGTGTCCATGGAGCGTGTCCTAAGATGTTGGTGCTTGGTGTCCAACATAGAGGCCCTTCAGAATAAGCGGCCAGCTGAAGGCACCAGGTACCCGCTTGGTCTTCCACATTGAGAATTAACAATATGTTCTTAGTAAGATAGAAAGCTGAGTCATCATGAGGCAAGATGATGCTTAACAAGAGTCAATCCTCTTAATTGGCAACTTTCCACCTCCTATTGAGAAATGCACCAATCCGATTGTCAAAAGTTTAAAAGATGGAGTGTGTTGTTCCCGATATCGAGATGAGCCTCCCTGGTCTTCCTGTGTGATTCTGGCACACATCTTCCCACAAGCCATGTCACTCAGGCTTCTATTGGACTCTGTCTGTTGTGTGCCCATTTGTAAAGCTAAGTTTGACAAAATTATGAGAGGCATGGATAGAATGGATAGTCAGAGTCTTTTTCCCAGAGTAGAAATGTCAATTACTAGGGGTCATAGGTTTTAGGTAAAAAGGGCTAAGGTTAAAGGAGGTGTAAGAGGCAGGTTTTTACCCAGAGGGTGGTAAATGCCTGGAATGCACTTCCAAAAGAGGTGGTGGAGACAGTTACAAAGGCAGTGTTTGAAAGGCATCTTGACAGATGCATCAATAGGGAGGGAATAGAGGGATACGGACCATGTCGAGGCGAAAGGTTTTTAGTTCAGAAAGGCATCATGTGTCAGTGCAGGCTTGGTGGGCCGAAGGGCCTGTTCCAGTGCTGTACTGTTCTTTGTTCTTTTTGTTTCTTTATATTTCCATGTGGAAAGATAGTGTTCAGTCAAGTTTACCTTTGTGACAGACACTTTCAACAAACCTACTTTTCATTATTTATTCACCATATTGAGTTGTCAGAGTGTTTACAGAAATGCAAAAGAATAAATTCAATCTGCCTGCTCAGTTCCACAGGAGCTAAAACAAAAGTAAGATTGATATAGAAATTACAAAGTAGAAAGAGGCCATTTGACCCAATGAGTCTCTGCAAGCCTTTTTTCTCTACTCAACCCATTGTTGTAATCTGGTTCCTTGCTCATTTCCAAAAAGCTACTCATTTACCCTTTCCTCAACCCTAACCATAAATCACTAACTACAGGCTTGACATAAAGTCAGATTCCACTGTATCTTCTGTTGAAACAAGCCATTCAATGTGGGAAAGTGTGAGTTTATGCACTTGGGCAGGAAGAATAGGGGTGTAGAATACTTTGTAAATGGTGTAAGTCTTCAGAAATCTGAAGCTCAAAGGGGTTTGGGAGCCTTAGTTCAGGATTCTCTTTAGTTTAACATGTTGGTTCAGCTGGCAGTTAGGAATGCAAATACAATGATTTGATTTGATTTATTATTGTCATATGTACCTAAGTACAGTGAAAAGTTTTGTTTTACGTGCAGTACAGGCAGATCATAACACACAAAGATCATAGGGTGATTGAACAGAGTGAGGAATACAAAGTTACAGCTGCAGAGAAGGGGCACAAAAAACAAGATCAACATTAGATTTGAAATTTGAGAGGTCCATTCAGCACTCTGATAACAGCAGAGAAGAAACTATTCTTGAACCTGTTGATACATGTGTTCAAGCTTTTGTATCTTCTGCCTGATGGAAAAGGTTGGAAGAGATTGTAACCGGCGTGGGAGGGCTACTATTCCATCGCAACAGGAAGTGTAGATGGAGTCAATGGATGGGAGGTTGGCTAGTGTGATGGTCTGGGCTGTGTTCCCAACTCTGTGTAGTTTCTTACGGTCCTGGACAGAGCAGTTGCAGTACCAAGCACCCAGATGGAATGCTTTCTATGGTGCATCTGTAAAAGTTGATGAGGGTCCTTTTGAACATGCTGAACCTCTTGAATGTTAGCATTCTTTTCAAGAAGGTCAGAATACAAGAGCAGGGTTGTACTGCTAAGACTATATAAGGCTCTAGTCAGATTGCATTTGGAATACTGTGAACAGTTTTGGGCCCTTTATCTAAGGAATGATGTGCTGGCATTGGAGGGAGACCACAGGAGGTTTACAAGAATGATGCGTGAAATGAAGGGCTTGTATAATGAGGAGTGGTTGAGGACCCTGAGACTACTCAGTGAAGTTCAAAAGAATGAGATGGAATCTGATTCAAACTTACAATATACTAAGAGGCCTGGATAGAGTGGACGTGGAGAAAGTGTTTCCACTAGTGGAACAGACTAGGACCTGAGGGCACAGCCTCAGAGTGAAGGGATGACCCTTTAGAACTGAGATGTGGAGGAATTTCTTCAGCCAGATGGTGGTGACTGTGGAACTCATTGCCACAGAGGGCTGTGGAGGCCAACCAATGACCATGAATTGTCAGAAAACCCCATCTGGTTCACTAATG